GTTATGGCTGTAATTAATGAATGACGTCTTGAGAGAGAGCTGGAACAGAAAGCAGTGTGACCAGTGTTTGAAGACGGGGCAAGTGGTTCCTTAGAAGTCAAATGGTGCTGGTTTGCTGCCAGTGGACTTTATCCACCGGGGTGGAGCCAGGCACTTTGATTTCCCTTACACCATCCATAAGCTGCCATGGTGAGCAGATCTCTCTAGGCAATGCTGGTTTTGCAGATTGATGGCCTGAGGAGACTCTCTTGTCCAGGTGAGGCAGCTCTGCTGTTCAGGTGCACAGCTTCTCTCCTTGTCCAGTAATGGGCCAATAGTCCAACCTGTGGAAAGTGGAGGTGTTGCACTGCTGTTGCGGGAAGCTCCAAGACTGAGCTCAGACTACATGGAAGCTCACTGCTAAGAAAATCAGATGTTCTGCCTCTCTTAGCAGATGACAGTTCAGCATCCCCTGAACATTTTATTTTAAAACCTTTATTTGTATTTGTTTTCATGCAATTGTGTTTTATACTCCTCCTTCTCCCTGTGATCAGGTAAATAGTGGTGTGGTGGCTTTAACCATGTGGACCTGCTCCATAGTGCCTCCCTGTCATATCCAATGGCCAACTCCTGCCACCACAGGACTGTGGGGAGAAATCTGAGCCCCTCTACCCTCAGGAAGGTGGGGGACTTACTGTCTGTCTGGCATGTAATGGCTCAAGAGGGAGTTGTTAAAGATGTTTTGGAGGCTGTGGATAAACACACCTGCTTTAGCCAAAGGAATATGGATTTACATCTCAGTCCAGTTTGATTACAGGCAAAGTACATTTACATAGAAGATAAAGTGATTGTCATTAGACAAAGCATTTTGCCATGCAGCTGAAGAAAGGGACTTGGTGCCTGCACCCAGAAGAGCAAGCAGCAAAGGAGAGGAACTAGTGTGAGTTTTGTGCAAAAAAAACCTCTTTTGCAAGGGCCTTATGCCTCCTTTTTTGTCTCTGCTGACTAGGCACCTACCTCTAAACTGCAGCCTTTTAAGTGCTCAGAGGAAACCTCTGTAAGCAACAAGCATTGAATTTGTAAGTGTTTCAGGGTACAAACTGAACAGCTGCTCATCTTTTAGTGCTCCTTAAACCAGCTTCCCCCTGCCAGCCTTAGAGACGACATCCTCAGGTGGTTAAAGAGGCTGGGGGAAGGTATTCTCCTACATCTTGTAAACAGAAGAGAGCTGGAGAATAAAGACCTGTACTGGGCAGAGCAGCTTTCTCTGGACTAGGCTCAGGCTACAGCATCAATTGAGCTATTGAAGCCTCTTTGAGAGCTACTTATGCTAGCCCAGAAAGAGGCAGAGCCACTTGACAGCCTGTAGTACTGTCCATGCTGGAGGCTTTTCAGACTGCTAAGGACACATTGTTTCTTCTGGCAGTGCCCATACTGTCCAGTGAGGTGCTGTGTTCAAGCCCAGGCGCCCTCCATCAGTGTGGCAGGGGCTGCCCCCCCAGCGCTTGGCTGAGCAGCCCCACAATGAGACTCAGCTTGCCAGCCAGAGTTCCCAGCATCCCAGTCTGGGGTTCCCAGACCTGTGTTCAGTCTGGAGCTGGTCTCCCAGCTTGTGGCATCACGCTGGAGCCACCACAGCTCGGTTACCAGTATGGCTCCCCATGGGCATGTCAACCATCTTAGGAGACATCAGTCCTCTATCCCATTCTCGCTCCTGAGCCATGGAGTGGCATTGCTCACAATCTTCGGGGCCTGATGGAGACTGGCTGGAGACTACATTTTCCTGTCAAAGAGATCATGTCTCCATCTATTTGGTGTGTAGTGTAGGTGTTGCCAAACAACCTGACCTCTATATTCCATGCCAATAGGCAAAAGGGTGCTCATTAGCACTGTGCCAGGAAGCCCTTCATCTGTAGGCCTTCTGCACTCAGCAGGCCTGACCCACCCTCCTCCTCCCCTGGTGCAGTTCTAACAAGAAGGAATTGTGGGAGCCAGTAGTGCTCCTTGTACACTCCACAGGGCACCACAGCCAGTCCCTTATGGATACCACCAAGTGAAAAACTTCCAGCAGTGGTGCATGGGGCAAACACACACACACTGGAATGGATGTGAACACCACATCTGAAGGAACAGCTCTTAGGAAAGGTTAGTCATGGTTTTTCTGCCATCACCTCAGCAGAATTCTGAGGAAAAAGCTGGAGTGGATGCTATTTAAAAACAGCTCCACCTTGGCTCATGCGGGGCCTGCTGCAGCTGTTCTTGAGAAGCAACTGCATGCCCACTCCTGCTGCACTCTGCTCAGCAGAGGGCAGCTGCCTGCTCCATGAGAGAGAGAGAGAGAGAGGGACATTATGACTCCTCTTTTGACCTTGAAGTGCTGTCCCTGGCTGCCCTGTGATGGAAAGGGGAGGAAGGTCCCAAATGCCCAAGTTGTGGCTGGCCACCTGAGGCTAGCTCATGACCTTCATGCTTGTGCTGTGCATAAGGGATTGCTGGAAGGGATGCTGTGGGTCTGGGGTAGAAAGAGTTGTCATGTCCTGGGGCCTAGTTGCATCCTACAACTAAAGTATTGACAGTGTGGTGGGGCAGCAAGGGTGCCATTGCCCTCATCTGCTCCAGAACGGGGCTGTTCAGCTACCCCCCAAGCTGGTTATATGACTGAAGTGGGAGTAGTAGGCAGGACTGGCCACCTCTGGGACAAAGCTGCTTTTTATCCACAGCAAGACCCTCCCATCTTGCCCCACCCCTTTTCAGCACATGCCTGGAATAAAGTACTTCACAGTGAGGGCATAAGATTTTAAATCACATTGAATAGTTAGCATTTTTTAGTTAGGCATGGACTAAAGTGTCACCCTTCTGCAGTATTCAGTTAGAGCTAGCATTAAGAATTTACAAAACAGGGTACCAGTATATATTTATAAAATTAGAACATTTGCCCATGTCAAATTATTCAGACACACACAGCTCCATTATTACTTATACAATTAGAGTTGAAGCCATGGCCAATTATGACTAGTTAGTCATTACAGGAACTGTCTGGCTGTGTCTACAGTGAGCCACTTTTCCGGAATAACCTGCCAGCTGTCTACACTGGCTGCTTGCTTTTCCAGAAAAGCAATAACGATCTACTGTAAAATTGTCAGTGTTTTTCCGGAAAAACTGTTCCGGAAAAGGGCCAGTGTAGACAGCACAGTACAGGCAGCCCCCGGGTTACGTACAAGATAGGGACTGTAGATTTGTTCTTATTGTAGGGGAAACTCTAGCCAAACATTTCTCCAGAGCTCAGTTTTATTCTCCCACACCTCACTTCCCTCAGTCCTTTATTCTCAAGCTGAGGTGTCGTCTGAGAAAAGCAGCTCCGCGTCTCTCTGGTCTGCTGGGGGGGCGGGAGGTGCTAGCTTCGCATCTCTCATGTCTGCTGGGGGGAAGCAGCTAGTGCGGGGTTGCCTCACCCTGTTTGTAAGTAGGGATCTGATGTAAGTCGGATCCATGTAACCCGGAGACTGCCTGTAATCTTTTCCGCAAAAAAGCCCCGATCACGAAAATGGCGATCAGGGCTTTTTTCCGGAAAAGCGCATCTACATTGGCCACAGACACTTTTCCGGAAAAAGTGCTTTTCCGGAAAAGCATCCTGCCAATGTAGACACTTTTTCCGGAAATACTTAACTGAAAACTGTTCCATTTTAAGCATTTCTGGAAAAGGGTGCCAGTGTAGATGTAGCTACTGAGTCTGGCTCACAACAGCATAACAAAAAGAAGCCTGGTTTCAGTAGTAAGTCTGGTATTTTCTCTGCTGGGACATGAGACCCAACAATCCTATTGCATTCCTCATTTGCAGAATATTGCCACATATGATCAATAGCACAATGGATGTAATATATATTCTCTGCCAGCTTTCCTGCTGCTGCTATTCATCCATTTTAATTTGTTAGAGTGGGTTTTTATCCAAATTTCCCACTTAGTAAGTCAGCTAGACATACTAAGTCCTTATCTTCTTCTTTCTGTTCTATTTTAAATTACAAACTTCCCTTCATTTCCTCAGGGAAATTCTGGAATCAGGGCAAAACTCTTCAATTATACCTCCTGCTGAGTTTTGTTGAACAGCAGGGCTTGCTCTTTTTTTTGTAAGGCACCTTAGGATGCTCATCTTGTAAGTGCTCATCTTATTTTTAATTGAACAATAAATACAACTGTGAAAGTAATCAGCTCTTTTGACTGCATAATGGCTCCTTCAGATATCATGGTCTCTCAACACACATTAGATTTAGCACTTTCATTAAGGCTTACATGGTCTCTGACAAAGCACAAATGGCCTTTTAGTGCATCCTGTCTGTAAAACTCGTGGAAGAAAAACCCAACAATAGGGTTACTAAGAATCAACTGCAAAATTAACTCCACCCATCAAAAATTCATGTGCAGTAGTTCTACTCACCAGTTTTATATTTTAAAATGTCCATTATGAATTAGCAACATGGACATAAAAAAAACAACCACCAAAACAAATTTTAAGAGAATTGAATTGTTTTCCAGAAGCTTTTAGAACTCAAATTCTTAATATGGATAAATCAAATTACATTATTATGGAAACGAGATGAACATTTAATTTCTGTACTTACTTGCAAAGACCTGTGTTCAGTCCTGCCCTTCCAGAGGAAGGTGTGACAACCCAATCACCTAAAGCAGCTGCAAGAGAAACATAACTGTGTGCCAGAATTCACATTTCAAAAAGTGACAGCAGTAAAAATAGGCTCTTGAAAACCTCAGACCTTTGAATATTTGTTTTGCTTTCCTTTCATTAGATCTAATGCAAGATTTCAATGTTAGTTTTGAAGCCTTCTCTCCCTCCCCTTCCCTCCGAAGTTGCATAACAAATGCCAGGATAACTGTCCACAGAGGAAAACAATCCAAAAACTGATTTTTTCTCTCTCTCTCACTCACACACACACACACAAAGGAAGGGAGCTGCATGAGCAAAATGAGCTAGGTTGCTTCTGAAAGATGGACATTTACTGCGAGGTAGATACATTACAGACTATTTTCAAATGGCTGTTGCATTTATTTGCTTGATGAATATGGTCCTAGCAAAATAAAAGTTAATCAATATTAAGAGATTTGTCTGAAGTACACTGATTAGAAAAATCCATGGCAACCTGATAGAAATTAAGAGTTAATTTAAACATTTTGTTTAAATATTGCTAGCATATATAAAATGCATGTAACAGACTGGCAAGGGAGAATGCTTTACATGTGTAAAGTTGCCACCTAACCACATTCTCAATCTTCATAAATTCTATTCTCCACATTTTAAAAAAATATGAGGCTGTTTTCTATAACATATCAAAGCATTATCTGTACAAAATTAAATCATGGCCAATGATTCACAACAGTGCAATAGATAAAAAGTAGAACCACATCCAACAGGTGCTAAAAATAAATATCCAGATTCTACAAACAAGGTAGGCTATGAGCATACGGTGAAGTTATTTTTGCTATTTTTTAGTTGAATATTTATTGACTAGTCTCACGACCATCATTTCATTTGACATATATAAAAGAGTGCACTGGAAACAAAAACAGCCCTATGATGCCAATTTTTATGAAGGCCTTTCATTAGTGACAGGATTAAATAGCTGAGCCCAAAGAAAGTGGCAGTTCTTGTTACTAAAGAAACAATGTCTATTGCTGAAACCTGCTCCCTCAGCAGGCATCTTTAATCAGGCTTATCAGAAAAGCATACATGGCTTGGCTTTCTGTAACTGGAATAATATATTGCTCGATTAGGCAAATAGAAGTTATTATTACCTAAGCAAACAACATAACCAATCCCCTTTAATTACAAAAGCATCAGTTGCTGAGTTTGAACTGAACTGAGTTCAAAACACTTGAAAATGGACCCTTTCTCTGGAATAAGAAAGTGCAGTTGCTGTGCACTAGACATGTGAATACAAGAGATAGGTTATACAACTGATGATGATGATCACTGGTTTACAAACCAGCAAATGGGCGAACTACATTACCAAAACATTTTACTGGAAGCTGATGAACACCTTCCACCACTAAGGGACAATACATCTGTAAAATTTTACATTTATTTTAATACATCTTAGAGCTGTAAAATGAGGGAATTAGGTATCTGTTAGGGCATTTGTTAGGTAACAATGATATCCTGCAGTCTCACACTTTTTAGCCAAACAGGAAAGAATTTAAAGCTCCTTTGTATTTAATCTGCATCAGAAAGGTATCCAAGGCACAAGCAAGAGTGACCAGATAAGCAGAAACGACTGTGAATAAGAACAAGTAGATTCACAAGGCAAATAATTAATGTTTGTGGATAGGTTTTTACTTTTCATTGACTGGAAAGAAGAGACCTCCCAATTTTTCTCTGATGAAAGCAAATAAATTGCTCTGGTTTAAAATAAAACCATTAACTGAAGTCAGCTGTAGCAAATTGGTCTCCAATAATCTGACACTAGCTGGAAAACTTCTCTGCACTCTCCAATCTTTAATTGCTTTGTCTTCCAAAGTAACCTGAGCCTAATGGGTAGAATCCACAATTATGAAAGAGACAAGTCTCCAGGGTTTTAAAAGCATGATTTTACACAATGTACACAGCCAGCAAAGACTGGTGCAGTTTTCACCTCAAAATTACAGTAAGTTGCACAGTCCTTGCTAAGTCCAGTTGATTTTATGAATACCCAAGGACCCTGATCAGATTGGAGTTTCCTTCCTGTCTTTGCTTGGTGATGGCTTGACTAGCTCCTTGACTGCCTTTGACTGCTCTTTAGTTGCTTTTGTCTCCAGGACACTGTCTCTTTGCTGTTGAGAAACACTCCCGCGCTTTTCTGGCTCATCTTCTTCCTGCACCTGCTGCTCTGATTTTGCTCGCTGCATCTGTAGCAGTCGAAGTTGCACTCGCAGCTCAATGATGGCCTCTCGTTCTTCATGAATCGCTTGGTTCAGATGATTGTTCTTTATCTTTTGAGCAAGGGAAAGAAAAGTGACAAAACAAGTAACTTCTGTAGCTACTGAATCATGAATAGAGTATCACACAATGTAACTTTTGCTGCTAACTTGGGAGAGAGTCAAGTGTGTGCACATGTGCATAAATACGCACACAGGGATGAACAGTAATGGAAACAACTAACCCCACAAGGAGAAGAATAATTATGGTGGCAATGGACTAACACAGCTGCACCACCAGAAATCCACATTTAGATGAGAAAATGAGCACTCCTGGAGAAGGATTTAGAGCTGGTTTAAGATTTTTAAAACTATATTTTTGAGTTAAATACTTGATTTGGTTTTAGCAAATGACCAGTCCAACATGAACCGCAAAGAGACTTTACATTTAAATTAATTCTGGAACTGCCTTGCCTTATCTACCTCCAGCAGGAAGATCAGAATTTCTATAAAAATGAGCAATGCAGTTTAAAAACCAAATCTATAGGTTGAAAAACAGAGTGAAATGCCTCTGATGTTCTTAGAGAGCTGGGCTGCTTTTAATTTTTTGCACCAAGGCAACTTTAGATTAATTTTGTGGATGAATTCTGATCTTAATCTTAAATTGCCCCCATCTTCAATCTGAGTTACTAATATGGCATGTCAAGAGCTACTCAAAGTTACAAACTAGCTAATCATTAGAACGCTGGAAATTCCAGAAACAGGATTTATTCTTGGCTCTGCCACTGACTTTCTGTATGATTTTGGATAAGTCACTTCACCTTTCTGTGTTTCAGGTGCCTCATCAGTAATATGAAAACAGTACTTGACATGGAGTTTGAGATGTAATTAATTAAAAACTGAAGTATTCACGTTTCTCAGATGGGAAGCACTACACAGCAGCAGTACAGACGTTTTGTTGAGAACTGTAAAGGGCATTAATGCCTAGAAGTCTCCTTACAGCACTAGGCACCACCAAACAAGAGACCAGAATGTATACATGTTACACCTTGCTCCCAGTCACAGGACTGGAGAGTGGTGGAAGAGATACAACTCTGAGGATAGAGTGTGAAGAAGGGACGAAAGGACCCTAGTGTTACTTTAGCCAGCTAAGGAGAGCTCTATCCATACCCAGAAAAAACACAATGGCACAAGAGAAAGATGACAAAGGCTCTTTGGATTGGCCCTTGACAGTGGGGAATTATCCCTCTCACTAGATAAGAGAATTGCTTCAATCTCTCTGTGAGATAACTATAGTTAATTTTCAAGTACCAACGCTGCTCTTCTAAAATGTTCTTAATAAACTTAAACAACAAAAGGTCTGGTAGCACTTTATAGACTAACAAAACATTTTGTTACTCTATAAAGTGCTACCAGACCTTTTATTGTTTTTTAAATTTATCCTGCACAGACTAACTCAGCTACCCCCTGAAGCTTCTAAAATGTTCTTGTCTCCCTTCAATCATGAGTAACAAGTCTTGAACTTGGCAACCCTGCCCCAGTTTTTTTTTTTTAAATTCAGGAGTTACAATTCAGATATACTGCATAGGTTGGGGTGGGCAATAATTTTTGATTGGGAAGGGGGGGGGGGAAGCACTCCAAGATTTTAGTAAGCAGTCAAGGGCAGTACTCTTCCACAGTATTAATGGAGGAGGTGTGGGGTCTGGGATGGAGGTTGGGTGCAGAAGGTAACCTGGGGTAAGGGACTGGGGTGCAGAAGGCAGAATGGAGTCTGGGAGGGAGTTTGGGTAAAGGAGGTGGTTGTGACCAAGGGTAGGGGACTGGAGTGCAGGGGTTTGGGATGTGACTTAGGGTAGGAGGAGATTGTGATCTGCGGCAGGAAATTAGGGATACAGGAGGGGGGCAGAAAGTTTGGGTATGCTGATAGGGCAGGGTAGAGGGTGGGGGAGAAGGGAGGGGCTGAGGTGCCAGAGGCCATGTGCTTGTGTGAATAACTGAGCCAAGGAGTGGGGGCATGGTTCTTCTTGGCTGCCTGTTATTCAAACAGGAAATTCCCATTAGCCAATTTCTGGCCAGAAATCAACCAGTGGGATTGTGCTGGGGGCAAGGGCAGCTCCTGAAGCTTTCTCCCCTCCCCTCCAGTTTTGAAACAAAAACAGGGCCCCCCCAACAGCATTTCTGAGCGGTGTGTGGGGCTGCGGAACAAGCAGGGAAGCCTGCCTGTAGCTCCCTGGGCTCTCCACGGGCTCTATCCAGTGGCTCGGCAGGCCAGATTCGGCCCATGGGCTGTATTTTGTCCAGGCCTGGCATAGGTGAAGAGAGGCGAAGAGAAAGTCTCAAATGGGAGAAAAAAGCAGACAGATGCATGAAAGAAATAGAAAGAGCTGTGAGGGGGGAAAAAACATCTGAAATTTGTTCTCCAGGACCCTGCCTCATGTGCAAAAGTGTCTGTATGACTCTACTAAATCATGTTTGGTGCCAATTTACATCCACTTTGTGCATGGGTAAATGACTGCACATAGTGCAGGAGCCCTGGGGAATGAAGTTAGCATTACAAAAGAAAAGCATTGGTTCCTGAGAATTAAATATAGATATTCCAGAGAGAGACTGAAGTATTTCTCTGTTCTCTCTCTCATCCACTGAGAATGAGCAACACTCACCAAACTGCACCTTCTCCTACTCCTCCCAGAAAACTTTTGCTTTTCATGCTGGTTATTTGGTAAAATGCACTGGTCTCACCTCTAGTTCCTCGTTCTGCCTTTGCAAATCTTCCAAGATAATCTGTAGCTCTTCCTCATCCTCGCTCTCGCTCTCACTCTCGGAAGAATATTCTTCAGTTTCACTTCGACCATGCTGCTGACGACTGAAAGAACAAAAGAGATCTGAATGGACTGAACAGGGCTCACATTTAAGACAATGGGATTTTTTTTATGCTTAAGTTCTGTACAAGTTACATTGATTTAGAAGAAGATAGGACAAAGCTGCAATGAGGCAATCTGTAATGTTCATCAAGTCCTGTCCTTTCCATTAGCATTTTGAACTGTACACTGTGTTTCTTAACTCCCACCCTTTATGGAGAAATACAATATTTTTCACTGTGAATGTAAGAATTCTAGCCTGGCTGGAGATCTGATGTCAGCAGGTTCTTTTTTACCTTTGAATTTCAGCTATTTCTGCTCGAAGGCGTTCTATCTCCTCCTTCTCAGAGGCAATTTGTCTGCGCAGAAACTGCTCCATTGCCAGTAGCTCTTCCTGTTCTGTCAAGATCTCATTCTCCTGCAATGATCAATTAACTCACTTCATCTTGGATTTATGATCTAAAAAGAATACACTACAGTGTTTCTTCTTTCTAATGCTGCATCCTCAGAAGTTACCAAACAACTTTGTTTTCTGGAAATATTTCAGGTAATTATGTTGAAAACATTGCAGTTTTATCTTAGTGTTGACGTATGCAGATAGGCTGGACAAACTTTCTACTCCATTGGTCCATCAGCTCTCAAAGCCAAGATTAATCTGGGATCAAGTTATATCTGCTCTAAGGCCTTCTTACTGAAATGCTGTGCACAGTGGTCCACCAAATTCCTGCACAACCCAGATGAGGTGAGGCTGGAACTTCCTTCTCCCTAGACCTATAGGTGCGAAAGCTCAAATATAAGCAAAAGCATTGGGGACAAATACAGAAGTAGAGAAGTCCTAAATTCACTTTTGGAGATAGAAAGCAGGTGGCAAGAATTATGGCAGAAGGGTGTCACAACAGATGGGGCCACGATAGCTGGGGAAGAGTGGATGAGGCAGAAAGGACAATACAGTGGTCTGGGTCAGAGGAAAACACTGTACCTCCCTCACTCTGTCTACATGACAAACACCAATCCTTTTCCTGCCAGGACTTAGGGGATCAGACCTTTGTCCTTTCCCTTGCAGCAGCACTAAGGAAAGGGGTTTCTTGTTTCAAAGACCTGGAAACTCAGAGTCCTTCTTTACTTTTAGGCTGCTTATTTAAAACCAATGGGTAAATCAAACTTTAAACTTACACCCATGTATAAATTCTAAAGAGGCCAGGAGCAAAGAATGCAGAATTGAGGAAGGAAAAAACCTCCAACAACTATTTTTTTAAAAAAAGTTATGTTATTTTTGAAAAGCATATGTAAAGGGTTTAAAGAAGTCCAGAGAACTTATTGGTTATCTAGCAAGTAGCCTCCAATAATTAGTTTGATTTATATAAAACCTAATGAGCCTCCTTAAGTGCCTCCTTACCTGACAAGTTTTTAAGTTATCTTGTTGCTGATAACACAGTAAAAAAGCAGGCATGAAAGAAATCTGTAGAAAAATGTTACTGAAAAACTTTCAATTAGTTGTATTGGGAAAGAGGAATTATAGAGTGTAAGACAAACAAGAGAAAGGAAGGAGAAAAACAGTCTAAAAGTTACTCGAACAGTAAGTGCCACAGGGTACGTCTAGATTACATGCCTCTGTCGCCAGAGACATGTAGATTAGGCTACTAGGCATAGAAAAAATGAAGCGGCGATTTAAATAATCGCCGCTTCATTTAAATTTACATGGCTGCCGCGCTGAGCCGACAAACAGCTGATCAGCTGTTTGTCAGCTCAGCGCAGCAGCCATGTAAATTTAAATGAATCGGCGATTATTTAAACTGCCGCTTCATTTTCCTATGCCTGGTAGACTAATCTACATGCCTCTGGCGACAGAGGCATGTAGTCTAGACGTACCCTTAGTCTTGACCTCTTTCAGACATAGCACAGAAGAGAAAAAGAAAACTAACAACTCACAAGGGGCCTGGATTCACTAAGGGACTCTCACACTGTGATGCTCAGTGTTATAGAACCTTCTCAACATGCTCTAATATTTGAACAATGGGATATTGTTATGTGAGGCTCCTTTAATAGTTCCTATGGATAAATACTAAATGCTTACTGGGCCACATAAGAACGACTCTATAGCCTGGTGGTTAGGGCACCCACCTGGGTTCTGAGACACCCAGACCTCTGCTCTAGTAACTTCTATTGAAGTTGTTCCATCCATACTGGAACAACTTCAATAGAAGAGAATGAGGGAGCCCCAGGGTCAGCTTCTCTCATAGCTCAGAGCACAAAGAGGTAGGAGACTCCTATTCAAATCCTTTCCTCTCTCAGGTAGATGTGGGAGAATTGAACCCAGGTCTCCTACATCCCAGGTGCTCTAAATACTGGAATGAAAATGGTGGTGCCATCGCTGCTTCCTGTAGCCATGTTTTGACTAATGCAATAGGCGGCCTGTGAGCATGCTTATTAGATTAGGTTCCACACACAAGATTGGCAGGAGAATGAAATCTTTCCTTGAGGGTTTAGGCAGAAGATAGGCATCCCAACACTAGAAGGAGGCAGCAGTGTGCATGCTCAGAGGCAGAAATCTAGGCAGAGAGGAATCTTGTACTCTGAAAATGCAGACACCAAAGTGAGTTTAGGCATCGCCAGAGTTCAGCAGAAGTTTTGTGGAACCTAAAACTGGGATTTAGGTGTCTAGACACAGAAAGGAGGCTTTAAACTCTGAATTTCAAGTAGAGTGCAGGCATCTGCGCTGGAATTAGTGTTCTCTGGAGGATGTCTATCTTTCTCTCTCTGGCTCCAGGTAAGGCGGGAGGATTCAAGGCTCTTTTATAGCATTTAAATTAAAAGAAACTGTAGGAACATTCTTGCAATCAAACACCCATTTCTTCCCCATTCTTGAATGATCTCATCTACTATTCAGATAATATAGCAGGTCTTCCCATGATGCAAATACAGAAAATAAAAGAACATTAGAGCCTTCTTTAACTGAGTAACTTTACTAACAAGCAAAAGTTTCTTTACTAGCCCTAAAATATATTTGCTTCTCTTTAGTCATTGGTACATATTCCAAAGCTTGCTTTGCTGGTATATTAACAGAAGGGCAAAAAGAATAGAAGGAAAATGGGATTGAAAACACCACCTGAGCAAGTAGGATATTAATAACTTCTTCATTTTCATTTGTTTCTTCTTTGGAAATATCTTCCTTTGAAAGGCTGGCAATTTCTTGAGCAATCTTTGTTTCACACTCCTGCAGTGACAGAAATTTGGATTAAAAGGCTAACCCAACCACTCACATCACCACATTATGTAATACAATCCTGTGCACATCCCTGTCGAAAGCCAGCATCTACTATCAGACTCATGCCAGAAAAGGAGTCTGCTTTTAATTTCAAGCTTTTTAAACAGTACTCAGGAGTTATTCATCACTTGCCCACCTTTCTAGGACACACAGTTAAATAAGGACAGCTTTTGGATTTACTTGTCCCTGGGAAAGCAATATGTATAGAGCAAACAGTGGACATTCCAAGGTAGGTATTCAACCCAGCTTGTAAGTTTTGGCTCTTTAGGACATAATGCTTTAAGCTCACAAGAGTGATGTATTTTATGAACACATATTCCTAAGGCTCAAGCTCAATGTAAGAGAAGACTGAGTATCAAAATCTGGACTGAAAGCACAACTCAAAACCAGCAAGGCTTTGGGGAAAAAAACCTAGAAAATTGGTTCAATAAGAAAGTTCGACTGCTTTCCTATTGAATCTCTATGAGCATTCAGTGCTATGATTTTAAATAGCTGTCCTTTTGAAATAACAGAATAGCAGGACTCAAGCACTTTTGTACTACATTGACAGTAGCACATTAACTAACTGCTCACCTGTTCCTCTAAAAATGCCTTTCTTGCTCTCACTTTTAAGCAACTCTCATCCTTTTGGAACTAGGAATGTTAAATTTAGTTTAAACAACTAATCGACTAGTTGATGAAATTTCAATGGACTAGTCAGTAAGTGGGGAAGCCATAGCAGGGTTAGCTGCTGGCCCCAGTAGCTAACCCCGCTGCAGCTCAGCCTTTTAAATGTATTGAGAGCCAGTAGGCTCTTAACACATTAAAAAAGCAGAGGCACAGCATCTGGGACAAGGCACGGAGATAGTGCTGGCAGAAATTGGTTTTTAAGTCGGCTCCCCCCAGCACCAGCTCCTGATCCCCCTCTTTGTTGCCTCTTATAAAGACAATGGGGGGGGGGGAGAAATGATTAGTCATTTACATCCCTATTTGGAACCACCCATAAAGCAAATCTTCTAGTTATCTGCCCAGTCCTACCAGTTTCTTGCATTACACAGCTACTTTTACATTTAGAAAATCCTTCATTTACCTTTTTTAGTACTCACAAGCTAAGAAAGAATACATAGCAAGAAAAATCAAACCAAAATCCCATAGCAACATTTACTTTCTAAATCCAAACACATCCAGACCCTCTCTTAGAACACCTCCAACACACACATCTTCAGCACATAACAATGAGAAACACTAAAGTTGAGTTATTTTCATGTTAAAACAATTGTGCACATCACTGATGGTATTATAACAGGAAATTACAAAATGACTTTTAGTCACATCTCTGAAAGGGTTAAAAATATGTGCACAGGAATTGCAATCTGTACATTTAAAAAGTTTGGCAATGAAGACAAAGTGACCCACCTGTCTTTTAGCTTCTCTTAGTTTCCTTTTAAGGGCCGTTAAAATTCTTTGTACCTCCCATAATCTCTCTTCTTTGGATAAGTCTTTTATCCCCGCCTGCAAGTCTCGATGTAAACAGTTCAAAAGGAACTCCTAGAACAACACCGAAAGCATCTTATTCACCACTTGCTGCTATACTGTTTAATAATGCACAATAACACTATCACCACTGCCCTCTTATATAGTGCATTCATCAGTAGGTCTCCAAGTGCTTTAATAAAGAGGTGAATACATGCTCTTCACTTTACGAGGGGGAAACTGAAAAATATCAGAATCTCTTGTAGACACAAGACCCTGGACTGCAAGTAGATAACTCACTGGCTCACTCCGGGGGGGGGAGGGGGGGGGCGGGAACGGGAAAGTAATTTCTCTCATTGACTGTATAAAGCCCTCGTAGCTAAACAGACATCAACCCACTCCTTCCTTCTAGGATACAAGATTTAGCCTTTCTTCCACCGTTGCACGGATTCTCAATTCTATCACTGACTCTTCTGCCCCAGTATCCCATCATAAGGTTTTTCCTGCCAACTCCCAACCTTGGGCCACCCCAAACATCTTTTCCTTCAATCCTACTTGCATGCTGTCAAGTATCTCTGGAAGAAATTCCATGACCTGGTCAATTTTCTCCATTACAAAGTCATTGTCTCTTTCAGTTCTGTCACCTTCCTAGCTAAACCACTCTCCTTTTCTACTTAATTTCATGTCTTCAGTTCCAGCTGCCTTTTCATCAGCTGTGACTTACTCTTTAAACCCTCTATTTCTCTCTTGACACGGATCTGGCCAGTTACTTTCAAGGGAAAATTGACAAAATGACATGACCTTTCCCCCTTCCCCTTCTGCGTCTCCTACAAGTATCTGCTGCTCTTCCTCCTCCTCCTCCTGCCACGGGTAGAGGTTTCTTGTTTGCACTACTCTAAACCTTCCCCTTCCCAGTAACTCTAACCCATTTCCTGATCTCCCTTGAACACACACTCCTCCTCTTACTCATCTCCTTAATCTCTCACCGCTTTGGTTCTTTCTTCTCACAATATGAGCATACTTTAGTCTTCAAATCTTAAAAACCAACCCCTGACTCCAGAGGCCTCGTGTGTGTTTTAACTGGTAACCTGCCCATTCTCTTTTTTCACCTTATTTCTGAGTAGTCTCCTTCATAAGCACAAATTAAACTACTGTCTCTGCATGTGATTCTCAAATCTTCCTCTCTGTTGCACACCTTTCATCTTCTGTCCAAAATAAAATCTTGCCCTGTTTTTCTGACATTTCCTTGGAAATATCAAGCTCTCAGCTCAAGCACAAGACTAGAAATTATCATTCTTCATCTTCCCCTACAGGTCGAACCTCTCTTGTCTGGCACCCTCAGGACCTGAGTGGTCCCAAACCACGGAGTTTGCCAGACAAGGGAGGTCAGGCTCTGCTCCCAACTGGGGCTGCACCCAGCTACTGGACCTAGCCCCGGTTTGGTCTGCACTCCCTGCCACCTGCTTGACCAAGGCTGCGCACCCACCGTGCCAGCTCCAACCAAGGCTCTTTCTCCCACCGCGCCAGCCTCAGGCATAACTGTGCTCCCTACCTCCCAGCCCCAGCTGAAGCTATGCTCCTGGCTGCTGACCCCACTGCCTCCAGTCCCAGATGGACTGTGCTCCCTGCTGTCAGCCCTGGCCAGGGCTGTGCTCCCCATTGCGCCGGCCCTCTGAAGCTGTGCTCCCCACCACCAGCCCAGCCAGGGCTGCACTTCTGAACCTGGTGAGAAAGGGGGCTCTGGTTCAGCAAAATCCCTGGTCCTGCCAGACCATGGATGTTGCCAGACCAGAGAGAGTCCCAGATTTTAGAGGTTCACCCTGTACTTTCTCTCTCACGGTGGACAATGCTACCATTCTGTCACAAGCCCATAACCTGGCCATCATCCTTCACTCAAACCTCTACCTAATAGGGAAGTTTTACTGCCACATCTGCCACCCAACCTGCCCAAGCACCCATGGCAGTCCTGGGCCATTCCACCCTCCCCTGAGCACCTGTGGCACCCCACCCTGAGTTTTAGTTAGGGTTATATAATCATGGACAGGTCACAGGCAGTGACTAAAAAGTAGCTTATCTTATAACCAATATCTATTTTCCCAGAAATCCTGGCCCTTATCTTTTGTTTCAGCTGTGTAGCGTGCAGCACAAGTTAGAACAGTGGTCCCCAACGCAGTGCCCGCTGGCGCCATGGCGCCCGCCGGGGCATTTGTGTGTGCCTGCCGACAACCTGGGCCGGCCCCGCCCCCGGCGCGTGCCGGCCCCCCCAGGCGTGCAACACGCACCAGCGCCAGGTGCGCGGTGCTCGGGCAGCCCCAGCCCCAGGGCACATGCAGGCGCGCGGCGCTCGAGCGGTGCTGGTGCCAGCCCCAGGCGCGCAGCTCGGGTGGCGGCGCCGGCCCCGGGCCCATGGCACAAGTCGCTCGGACGGCCCCGGCCCCAGCCCCGGCCCTGGGGCACATGCCGGCGCTGGCTGCAAGGGCATCCCCGTCCCCTGGTGTGCCCCCGGACGAGTGGCCTCACCCCCCGGGCGCCCAGGAGCCTCTAAAGGTTGGGGAACACTGAGTTAGAAGGACAGTTGCCCTTTGAGCCCTAACACCCCAATCCTGAGCAGTCTGATGGCTGCTGTATTTTAGATCAGTTGTTGCAGCTCCCAGAAGCTGTTATTGCACTTGGAGTAACTGGTACGTAGGGATACCTCAGCTATTCTCCTACAGTGAAACGTGTAAGATATGCTGCTGCAGTTTTACATCACCCATGGATTTCCACAGGCAAGAGGAAATCCTCCAGGAGCCAGGTAAACCAGTTCTAGGAGACTGCTGAGGCAGCACAAAGCAAACCTAACAGTGCCAGAGAAGCAGTCCCTGAGAAAAGTCATCTTTCCAGTTCCACAATTTTGGATCTCAGTGTCACATGCCCTATTACCACATTTTGTTGGCCTGTTAGTAATGAACTTCAGACACATTTAAATAAGTCAGAGAGTATGCAGTGAAGAGATTTTTCACAAACCGCTTAACTGTCAAACATTGTCCCCACTATTCCCATAACTCAATAAAATCCCTGAATAGCTCACAAGATGATTAGTACAAGACCTGATTTTTCTAGATGTCTGTACAGGAGGAGCGCAATACATCTTCCCACAAATACAACAATAACATTAACAAAATACCAACTACTTGGCCACATGACACAGCTTACAGAACATGGGAAATTAAAAGTCATCACTACTATCTATGAGACCTACTTCCATTACGTCTCTGCTGCCTGACCAATAAACATAATTTTCAGGCCAAGTACATTAGTCAACCCAGTGAAGTAAAGACAAACCTGTCGTCTGATTTCCTCTTTAATGGTTTCCTGTGTTTCTGGCAGTGCTGGCATCGTTGCCATATTAGACCAGCGAAGGGGCTTTGTCACCGGCTTTAGAGTTACATTTCCAAAGAACTCTTGGACATGTGTAAAAAATACATACAGGACACGGTTGCTGATCTGAAATGAGAGTCAAAATATTGCTTCAGAAAGTGATTTTTAACACAATGTCCTTTATTATCCATGGTATATTTGCCCTACCTTGTATATTACTGGACAAAGAGTGTGAGCTTTTTCCATTTATAGCTACAACTTTATGCAGACAAACTGAACAATGCAACCTCTAGCAGATTCCAGGGTTTATTTGAAATAAAATTATGTCTGAAATTCATGATATGCTGATAGCCTAAAGGAATCATGACCACAATGTATTCGCTTAGTCTCCCATCACTCTATTCTCTCATAGACTCTCATGAGAGAGTCTATTTCCAAGGTAAAAATTATTGCCCTGAAACAATTAACTATTATTTTTATAAATGGCAGAAACAGAAATCTTCTGGAGTCTTCTTGTTAGGTGTTTCCTCACACACAAAAGTGTGAAGTCAGTGCTAGCAACAGGCAAGAGGGACCTTACAAGGACTGTTCTACAAGTTATATTTTTTTCCTCCTTTTATCCACCAAGATGATTTTTCCCTCTTTAACTTATTGCAAAATGAGAATTGATCATTTGTCATTATATCTGTGCCTTAGCAGACTTAGTGACTCCTTTACAGTAGATTATATTACCTCATTCAATTGCTATTGTTTTTAGGAATCAGTGGGTATGAAGAACTAGAACCTTAAAAATGTGGAGTAAGCCAGGAACATCAGGAGACTGAGAACGATCTCCACTTAAAATGTTGTACCGGAGTAGCTGCCCCAATGCAGCTGCACCTCCGTAGTGATTAAGTTAAGATGCTCCTGTGCCACCAGGAAAACTTCTCTCCATAGGTGTACCTCCCCAAGAGGCGGTAACTATTTCAATGGGAGAAGCTCTCCCACCAGCATAGTGCTGTTTATCATTTAGGGGGTTGGATTTTTCACAAGCCTCAGCAAAGTGGTTATACTGGTATAAATCTGTAGTGTAGACTTACCTAACCCAGACAGAAGAGTTAATGAAAACAGATTTATAACTATTAGGTCATATAGAGCCTAGAATACAAAGTTGTTGCCAAAATTTTCATAATGACTAGGGATGTTAAATTTAGATTAATGGCCTAATCAAATAGTCAATAAGGGGCCTCCGCCTTTGAAACGTAGCAACAGCCCCTGGGGTTGTTGCTGCATGTCAAAGGCAAAAGCGCTGGCCCTGTGCTTCCCATGACGTTTCAAAGTGGCAGCACCTCATGGAGCCCAGGGTCAGTGGGGGAGTGCCCCCAAGCGCTGACCCCAGGCTCCATGCGGCACTGCTGCTTTGAAATGCCACATGCATCCCAGGCCGGGCTGCACGTGGCGTTTCAAAGTGGCAGTGCCATGTGGAGCTCAGGGTCTGGCCCTGGGTTCCACATGGTGCTGCTGCTTTGAAGCCCCCTGGCCTCTTTCTTAGAGAAGCAGCGGGGGGGAGGGGGAGGTGTAGAAGCAACTAGTCAACTAGGATATCGACCAGTCATTAACATCCTTAATAATGCCACCCCTCACTTCCTTACAGATACAGACTTCAGCCAAACAAGTACAGTATTTACAGCTCTAAAGAACGATCCAGTAACAGCTTGTGTAACAGGGCATCTAGTAATGTCTACCATATTGTGAAGTGTTAAAAATACGGGAACCACTGAGTTATGCCTACTGTAAAACTATGTGCTCTATTTTCCCCCAATATTTCAACAGATTTCAAGTATCCTTTAACATGTCCCAAATACTTTAAACAGGAGGGAAAAAAAGCTGGCCATAAAATATGCTCCTTGCCTTAAGAATAGATTTGCTGTCATATGTAAATTCACAACTTGTCTTGAAATAAGCGACAGAGTTCCAACACCAATTTTATGTTATTGCCTAACCTATTTAAGCAACCAGACATGATAGGACATGAGTTAGGCTGCATTGATTTCATGCCTATTCTGTTAGGGAGGAGGACAAGACAGAGTATGATTACAACAACAAAGTATCAGTGAGTAAACCAAGCCCTATTGCTAGAGGGCCTTACTAAGATTATAAAATCATGAAGTAAGATTTTTAAAATCTCCAAACACGAAGCATGTTATGTTGCAAAACTCCAAATCCAAACTGACAAATTTATACAAAGTATAATTAAAAATTCAGCTGTAATCCAGTTATTGTTCAGAACTCTTACTAGCAACTGGTCCATTTGATTTCTTCTGATACTATACTGATAATTAAATAATCATTTGGGTATAAGTAAGAAAAATATACGTTCACAGAACTGGATTGACTGGCGTGATATAGGAGTTAAACAATAATACAATATTGTTTAATGATAAATCATTAAACCTTTTAACAAATTCTAATGAAGTGTGCGTGCAACTATTGGTGTCAAAGGCTTCCAATCCTCCTCTCTTACTTGAAAAACTAAGCTAATAGCATTTATAATGCTTACATTATTTAAAGGCCAAATATGTTCATCTGAATTTCAGACCAGCCCACACTAAGAATAAGTTAAGCCAAAATACTAAGTCCTGAAGAATACACGAGGAGAAGCTATTATGCAACTGAGTTACAACATTTATAGTCTGTGTATATAATTGTAGAAGAGGACATTTTAAAGAATCTCTTGCTAGGACTGCAATGCAGTTCACATACTTGTTGGATTGTGAAAGTACCTGAACAGTAGGGCTGAGCACTATAGAAATGTTCTGGATGTTCATTTTTGTTTCTAGTTCCTTTGCAATAACATGGTCCATGTGCACTATCAACCAAGAAATTAAGAGGTGGTTACACTCTGGCAATTCCTTCAGCAAGCGTTGGCACTCCTGAACTTTTTCCCCCTCTGTGCTCTTCCCACAAGCGTCTTCGAAGCGGGGCATTAGCTCTTTGGTAAGCAAGTTTTCAGGCAGTTCTCGTAGATATTGTTTCAGTAAGCTGGCTATGGTATTCGGCTCATATTCCTCCAAGTTGGGAGATTCTTCTCGATCATAGGCTGCTTTTAGTTCATCCACCTTTGATTTTATTCCTTAAAATATTTAGATTGGAAATTAAAAAAAAACAAACACACACACACAAAGTAATCAGCCATCTTTACATTTAGGGCACATTTACACTGCCGATTAGAGTGTAATTGTAACACAGATAGGCATACCCATTAGCTTTCATTTAACTAGTGATGGTAAGAACAGCACAGGTTGAACCTCTCTAGTCCTGCACTCTCGAGACCTGATCATTGCCAAACCAGAGAATTTGCTGAACCACAGGAGGTCAATATTGTCTAGCAGCATTACCAACACTTCCACTGCTTACTAGGCTTTTAGATGACATTTAGGGATAAATTATAGCTAATAACAGCACAGAACACAGAGAGCCAGAACTGGTGGCTGTAAACAAACTTTATGGGGGAGCGGGAAACTTGGCCACACCTATGATAAGTGGCTATCTGGCTAACTAAAATGATGCTGGGCTAGAGACTGCCAGACTAGAGAGGTTTATCCTGTAGTGAAGATGCAGTAGCATAGGATAACCACCCTAATATAAGCTCCCCAGTGACACTGGTGCATACTCATGTTGCTAGACCATGCTGGGGTCCATTCCGCCACATCTTCATTGCTACTCTTACCCAAACTAGCTAAATTAAAGCACAGAGCCAGCCTGACAGCATTGGGGCGGGGGGAGGGTAAATAAGTAAGAGACACTGCTTTACCATATTGGTATGATTTTGTAAAAGTTTAAATATGTGTATATACTAAAAGTCCCACTGCTAAGCCACACTATATAGTAAAGCAATGGCACCTACCTGACCCCACCCCCAAATAAGTTGCCTGCATGCTCTACCAGGGTTTCGTGATCATAGAAACTGATGCAATTTCAGGCCAACGTGGAAGCCAAAGCACCTAAAATAAGGGGAAAAGTTTAAGATAATTTGTTTAATTAAACTCTCAGCTGGCATGCAGTATGTAGACCTAAAACAAGTAGTTTTATTAAAAAATACTTGTAGTTCTCTTTTAATATTACAGAATAATCTCTAAGTAACAGCCCCTATTAGAAGCCAAAGACATTCCTTTTAAAAACAAACCAAACCAACCAACCACCACCCTTGTTTGCCTATTTCCAATCAATGAGACATCTCTTCTGGGAGGTATGATATTTAAAACTCCTGGTCTGGGATATTATTTGTTTCAAAGTATATATTTACTATATGACTAGAAAATATCCAATCTCTCAGTAACATTTTGATTTCTAAAACAAAGTGAATCTTTGTCAGTTAATGGGAGGGCTTTGATATAATTATTTTTATTTCTGCAGAAAACTGTATCTATCTGCGTTTTAAATAAAGACTATTTTATTTAAAAACAAAATAAAATTGATTTATACTTAAATCCAATTTTTAAATTAAATATTGTACAAAAATATAAAGCAGTATGTTTGCTGCCAAGCTTTACAGAATGTCAAACCACTGAACTGGTGGAAATCACTGGCTGAGTACCTGGAGCCAAAGTTTACTAAGCCAGCATTTGGCAGCAGTAGCCTCTTCTGCATGAGCAGAGAGAATATTTTCTTAATTAGTTCAACTAGTTTAATTCAGTAACTCCTTCATTCAAAATTAAGAACTCAAAAAAAGACAAGCAAGCTAGCTTTCCTTTCCTTATCTGTGAATAAAATCCTGGGAGCAAAAGGCTAAGATCTACTAGTTCTAAAATCTATGACTTGATGACCAGAAACTATACTTCGTTTGCTAAATCAGTTTTCAGTGCAAAACATGTTCTGATAAACTTTTTTCTTCGTTATTTATCACATTGAAGGTAGTTTTATTTAATAAAAATATTAAAATGCTGTTGTGAATTTTCAATTTAATTTCCATACATATTGAGTATTACATCAATAAGTTAGAAAATCACATTGAATGATTTTCCATTCTTATAAAGCTTGACACAATTCAAAATTAATCTAATAAATAAAAAATGCATAATTTGCCATTTTCAAACAAACATAGTGATATATAATTAAGAAGCTGAATAAATGTTATATAATTGCTTAAATGCATGTAATATAATGCACCCTCCTGTTTAGCAAAAAGGAACACCAAATGTAAGGCTATATTCAGTTGCAAATCAATATATTGTAATGGTTATTAGGGATATAAGCAAGTAGTCAACTACCCGATAAGTTGACTACCCAATAAGCCTAGGCTGGTTCCCCCCAGCACCATATCTGCGGTGCTGCCTGTCCCCCTATCAGAGGCAGCTGGGCGGGAGGGGGAGGGTTGAAAGAGGGGGAGAGAACAGAGGAAGCTACTGTGAAGCAGCCTGTGCGCACAGCAGGCCCAGGCTCACAACTAGAACTGCCCCCGGTCAGGGGCTGCTAGACCCAGTGGAAGCCAGGACCAAGCAAGCCCAGTTCAGTCCTGGCTCATGCCGGGTCCAGGACAGCTTTGGCTCTGCATCACAAGTGTAGTAAGAGCCAAACCAGCTCTTACTATATTTAAACTGCAGAGCAGCAGCACGGGCAAGTACCGGATCTGGCGCAAACTGTGACTGAGCGCCTTCTCTTATCAATGAATTGTGAAGTCGATACAAATTGTATTTACTACACCATTTGCCAATTATCTGCCTATTAACATCCTTAATGTTTATTAGCTAATGAAAATCAACCTCTCTTTAGGAAAATAATTAAAAGTTACAAATGCAAACTACAATTAAAATCGATTATTTCAAACAAGATTTCATGTGTTCTGATTTAAATTACTAAAATTGATGATTTAATTCAGTTCAACCTACAGATATGTACAAAGGAATTTAAAATTGAGAATTTTGATACAATTATAAGGTAGTGGATTAAATTAGTTTCCTATCAAAAGATCCAGAGTAGGCAGCATATTGTGAATAAAGAAAAGGCTATCCAAGGAAAATGAAGATCATTCTAGGCACAGAATTTTCAGGTCTCAAATTATGGGGAACCACTATTTCTGCTGCTATGTTCGAGTCTCAAATGTGTTTGAAATCATATGCAGCTGCATAAATCATACATCTGCATAGCACAGAAATAAGAAATCTGATTCAACTAATAAGCTTAATTTGAACTCTCTTTCACATAAGAGGAGGGGGATGTTGCTTTGGAGAATGCCAAGAGAACTTAAAAATAGGTCAGAGAAAAAAAAATCTATTTCTGCAAGTCATTCTGATCATTTGAATGCTCTGGAATACAAGATCTGAGAAACAGTTTTGACTGTTGTGCTATCTGTGCATCCCCAACTATTACCACACACATCAACTGCATTCAGATAAAGCCTTCAAGATCGATACTGTTTTATAAATTTATATAATACACATTTTACTTGTTCTACGTTCTACATGCTTTTTCTTATTTTTTCCCCTTTTTTGTTCTATTGCTCACTGTACTTGGAATACTTGCATGAGTCATTTTTCAGGTGGCTCTCTCAAATATAGCGGTATATTTAAATGACTAAAAACACTGATATTGTTACATGGATCAGTATTATACCACAAAGACTACTAATTATCTTGGCGTTACTACCAGTGTGTTTCTTCAAATCCAAGCTGAAATTCTCTACTGCTGTTCTACTTTATTAGCGGATTTACTGAAGAAAAAAAAAAAAAAAAAAAAAAAGAAAGATTTGACATATTTAAGTTTTTTGAAAAAAAATTAGACTGAAAGTGGCTGGGAAAAGCAAAATCAGGATTAGCCTATTTATTACTTCAACTCCCCACCAAATCTCCATTTCCATTAGCTAAACTTGTATCTTATTTCTAATAAAGGATCAATATATTCAAATAACCACAAGCACCGATCAAAACATTTTGGCATTTATGGCTTGCCTTAAAGACATGTTATGCTACATACCTAGTTTTCACCTCATTGAAAAAACCAAACCATATACATTTTTGTTGCTGTATTCAGCAAGCGGGTAGAACACACCACAAAAACAAATGTGAAAACTGCCCACTAACGGACCTACTGGAGAAGGAGAAGTTCAATACTGAACACCAGAACAGCTGATGAAACCTTTCCCCCTCCCATCTTCCATGAGACTGGGTTTGTAACAATTATTTCCTACTCCATAGGTTAAGAACATTAACTTTTTTCTTCTCTACCATCACGTTAGCCATCTTTCAGTAATTTCAAATCCCTAGCTTGACTTACATAGTGAATTTCACTAAAGTTGCAGTCTTTTGTTAAATGAGTAAAACTATACATGTGGGAGGGGGGTATGTAAAGAAGGGCAAAGTACTGTATTCATGTATTTTCTGGGACAAATGAAGGTAAAGCCTTGAAAATCTGCACTCAGACACGCCCAGTATACCTGAAACTCTGTAGATGCCTTCGCATTTCATGCCATACTTCTCAATGTAATCTATACATTCACGAAAAACTGCCGGCAGGCGAATGCCATCGTACATCATGGTCCTATTTACTGCATCAGCCAAAGGAATTCCAAACACAGGCCTAAAACTTGGAACATCCATCTGAGGTACCTCTGGCTCTGGAGTTGGCTTTTTCTTTTTTTTCTTCTCTTTCCACTGTTTTACAACATCTGCTGCTGTTAAGTCTTTTGACTTCTTCTCTTTATGTTTTTCTTCCTTATGTTTATCATCTTTATGTTTTTCATCTTTGGGTTTTTCTTTTACTTTAAAATCCTTTTCTTTCTTTTTGGAAAAGCTGGGCTTCTTGAAAACATGAATTCCTTTGGACCGCTTCAACTTGGAAGGACTTTCAGCTTCATCGCCAGAGCTGTCTTCTTGGAAGGCAGCATAACCCTCCGCTATTGGGAAAAAGAAGAGAAAACAAGAGGCAGAAAGTTACAACCTATTTTAATTTTTAAAAAAACTAAGGAAAAAAAAGGGGAAAAGGTAATACTGAACAGACACAATACCTGCCTACAATTACAAAAGACCCACTTTGCTTTTTATAGAGGTTAGCAGGGCAATTATTAAATCAGAGTTTCACAGTTATGTCCAATATAAACACATCTTAAGAATCACCTAAACATTTGGTATTTTACATACTTACTCAGTATGACAATGTCCATCTTATGTGCTATTTGTCCACTTAAATAGTCAAGGAAATGCAAAATAAAACAACTGTCTGGCAACTTCTATGTTCCTGTAATCAATGGTATAAAAGTTGCTGTTAAAAAACCATCTGCTACATAAGTACGCTTGCATAAATTAGTATGCAAAGGGTGGAGTCATTTAATTATTCACTCCCATTCTAAAAACATTAAGATATTCTTAAAATAAGTGTGCAATTATTTCATTTTAGCCTCAAATCAAAATATCTGAGAGAGGGGGGCTTATTTTCCATTACATCAATAAAGTTGTTCCAGCTGACCTGTTATTGCAGTTCTAAGTTAGCCTTATGCAGACAATGCAAGAGATAGCAACTCCAAAGTCACAGTCTGGTACCACCGTGCTTCAGCTGCAAAATACAATGTACTACCTCTGAAATATATGCACAAGAATTTTTATAAGCTACACCTCTGCAGCTAGCCCTGCCTATCCTTTAGGCAAGAACAGGAAAAATCTTTAAAGGTGGATTGGAAGGGTTTTTTTTAAGCCAACTAATTATAGGTTTAGATGCTCAACACTCCAAAGAGCTAAAACAAACAAGAAACATATTCAACAAAAAAGAGATTTTACATGCAATATATGGTTCTTAGATTCCCCTAAAGTTATGAATAAGCAGCTTTAGTTCCGATGTGATGCTCCAGCATGAGGTTTTCCTGCTGTTGTTTCATTACTCAGGAAACTCCTGGAACATGAAACTGGCCTATTATTTGCATGAGGGAAGGACAGAGTTAAGTCAGTCAAGTACCATTTTTTGATGGACATGATTTGCAATTTTTTTGTGTTTTTTGGTTCGTAAGGTCCACAGAGCAGGCACTATGAGTAACACTGTATGCTATGGTTCTTATCGGTACGTCATACAACTTGCACCTACAGAGCTAAGAGGGATTTAAACCACATTGTGCCTCCTGATTCTGGGCTGCTCTTAGAGCTATTGGGGTCCCCAGCGTAATTCTGATGGCAGCTTTCCTAGGCTGCTCTAAAGGCAGCATAGTTTTTGCAAAGCTTGTAATAGTGAAAACCCAAAAATGTAATGGGTATAAATATTTAAAATTTACAGAATGGATGTATACTAAATAAACTGCAATTACTGTACTTCAGTACGCCCTCCTTTGACAACCTCAAAAATACTTCAGACTCCATGTTCCAGGGGGATTGATTTGATAATTTGACAGCACCAGCACAGTATACACTGGTGAAAGTGGTGTACTTTGGCCTCAAGGGATCAAATAAAACCGTAAGTTAAATCAAGCAAGTTAAACGCATTTAGCAAAGAGGGCCAAACTTAATATTTTAATTTGTGTGTATGTGGGTTTCAAGTCTCACATGCAGGAACATATACTACCCATGATCCACAGAAGAAATCCCTCGGGTAACAACGAGAGGTCTACAGATCTCTCCAGAATAAAACATACCGTATATTCCGGCGTACAAGACTACCTCTGAAGTTAAAAAACATCCCCCAAAAATCGGGGGGTCGTCTTGTACGCCGGATGCCCTGCCGCCGGAGCCCCTCCGCAGCTTTGAAAGCCTCGGGGGAAGCCGGCGGCGGGGCATCCCAGGCGCGCATGGGCTGCCCCCCTGCCGGAGCCCCTCCGCAGCTT